TTCGCGGGGCTCGGGGGCGTCGCCGGCCTGCTTCGGCACGCGGCCCCTCGCAGCCCAAAGCTTCTGCGCGCCCCAGGACTCGCGCCTCGCGCCCCCGCCCCAGTTCTGCGGGGCGGCGCCCTTGCCGCCCTTGGAGGGCGCCGCTCCAGCCCTGCTGGGCCGTGCCCTTGGGGGCGCTCGGGGGCGCTCTTGGAAGCGCCCTTGGGGCCCGACTCGGACGGCGCCGCCTTGACCGCGGCCTCGTCGGCATCGTGGGCCTCCTCGGCGCGGCTCAATATGGCGGGGTCCGCGCGCTTCGCCGCGCGCTCCACCTGCGCGCGACCGACAAGGCTGGCGCGAAAACTTGCGAATGTGAAAACGCGCACAGGCCACGAACCAGGAATCGCCAGAGCGCGAACGCCCCGCCCAGTCCGAGCGGGCCTGCTCGTCGCAGTAGACGGCGAGCTGCGCCCGCCGCTTATGGCGGGCGGCCCCGAGGCCCACCGCCACGCAGACGTCGCGGTGGGCGGCGGCTGCGGCGAAGCTGAGCTGGCCCGTGGCGTGGGCGCCGATCGCGTGGCGACTCCGCGCGAGGTGCCACTGGCTGAGCGCAGGCAGAACGCGCCTGGGCGTCGCCCCTGCCCCCGTGGCCTCGCGCGACGAGACAGGGCGCGGCGCGGGCGCGGGCGACGCGAGAGAGCCGCGCCTGTGCCGGGTTCTTCAAGTCCTCCGAAAATTCGACCTCGTCTTCGTCGGCGTCGCGAAGCGCTCCGGCGAGGTAGCGCGGCAGCCACTCGGACAGCTTGACGCAGACGCAGGCTTTCTCGATCCCGCGCTTCTTCAGCGTTGCCAGATCGCTGGCAAGTTCGTCGACGAGCTCGGAGCTGCGCCGCGAGACAACGCGCGCAAGGTGCGGCGCGCACGCGCGCGGCCGCGACAGGCCGGGCGGCGCCTGGGCAGGAGATCGCCTGGCAAATCTGCTAGGGTTGCCGTTTCGAGCGCCGCGTGGATGTCCGCGCGGGCGGCCGCAGGCGCCTGCGACGCGAAGCGCGCGACGACAGGCGACGGCGGGCGCGCTCTGGCGCGCTGCGACGCCTCGTCTTTCTTTTGGAGGAACGCGAGGAGGGCGGCGCTGGCATCCGCGCTGGCCGACCCAGTGGCCAGCTCCTTGTTATCGCCCTGCGTGCGAGCGAGCGCGCGCTTGCGATTCGCGCTGCGCGGGCGCGCCGGCCTTTTCGCGCCCGGTCAGCTTGATGGCTTGGCGGGCGCATCGCTTCTTCCCCGCGTCCGGCGCGTGATCCTGGAAGCGAAAATCCTCAAACTTGGCCCCGGCCAACTCTGAGGGCAAGGGGGTGCTCTCGGCCCGCAGCGCCGCTACGACTGAGTCGCGCCAGGGGCCGCCCTGCGCGTCCGCCCCGTTGGCGCGCGCAAGAAAAGCGCGAAGGGTCTCCGTCTTGCGTACGCGCGCGCAGCTAACCTCTCCGCCGCTGCTGCGCCGAACGCTGGCAGCGCGACGACGAGAGAATGCGGCGTGTACGACCGCGCCGCGGCCGTATTGGCGCCGCGTGGCCACCTGGGGCCGACGGGCAGTATGCGCCTGTTAAGACAGCAAGCCGCATTCGCCTGCACCGGCGGTGGGAGCCGAAGAGCCCCAGAACGACGAACGCAGGGGCCGATTGGGCCCGCGCCCCAGCAAGAGCCGCATTGGCCCCGCAAGGTCGCGAGGAGCCGACGGACAGAATGCGCCCGCGCGCCGCCAGCCGCATTGGCCTGCACCAGAGGTGGGGGCAAACTGAGCCCCGCAGCCGACCTGAGCAGCGGCCGAATGGGCCAGCGCACCAGCGAAAGCCGTATTGGCCCCGCTGGGCGGACAATATGCGCCCGTACTGGCACGCAGCGAAAGCCATCTTGACCCCGCTTGGCCACCGAATATGCGCCCGTGAGAAAGCAAGCCGTGTTGGCATGCAACAAAAACCATATTGGCCCCGCTTGGCCACCAGGGACCAACGGACAATACGCGCGCGCCGCAAGCGACGGCAGGACGCGAGCGCCGTCGCAAACGGAATGCAAGCGACAAAGCCTGCAAATCGCGCAACCCCGAGGCGCGTCGCGATTCGCACCGACGGGATCCCCGCGGCGCGCCTGCATGGAGCGAATAACACAATGCGAGAAGAAAGCGTAGTAAACACGCCGTGAACGCGCGGGCCCTCGTGGGGCTGCGCGCAGCGCGGCACAAAACACAATGCGAGAGGCGAGCATAGCCGGCACACCGTGCGCGCGGGCCCTTCTCGTGGGGCCCGCGCGCGGCTCAACGCATGCCGACGCCGCCTTCGCGTGCGCGAGCCCTTCGCGCGGGGCTGCACGCCGCGAGGCACAGGGAAGCGGGAGGCGGCCCGCGCGCGCAGCTCGGTCGCCTGCGCGCGGGCGAGGCGCGGGCGCGGGCGCGAAATTTGTGCCCGCGCACAACGCGGCACAGTGGCGCGCGCGCTCCCGATGGCGTTGTGCGCCCACCAAAAAGCTCGACCGACGGACACGAGGTACGCACTCCATTCAACACATACTGCTCACGGCGACTGCCAAAACCCTCCTCCCCCTTTTCCTCCTTTTCCTCCTCCTTTTCCTCCTCCTTTTCCTCCTCCTCCTCCTCCTTCTTCATCCTCTCCTGCCTCCTCGAGGTGAAGCTCACAAGCGCTAAAGCAAGACTATAGCACACGGAGCGTCCCGGAGCGTCCCTGGATCGGCGGCACAGGCTGGAGGCCCCCACACTCTGTGTTTAGGGTCCCAAAGTTGGCTAACAATTGACACCAGAGACAACCCCAATCAGTGGATTTTTGAATTAGTCGCAGGTGCCTCAATCGACCTTCGTCCTGTCCGAGTCGAATTCGAATATACGTTCTAGTTCATTCAAAATAATATATGTTCCTCTATCTTTATTTGGTGTTTCTCTCTCCCTCTCTCTTCTTCTTCCTTAGTGTCTCTCTATGTATGCGTGTGTATCACTCCTGCGTATATAAATACATACGCGCAATTTATATGTATGTCTCTCTCTCTCTCTCTCGACTCCGCATCTCTCATTTTTTTTTTTTCTCTCTCTCTCTCTCTCTCTCTCCCTCACCCTATAGATGGTGGGTTGGGGGGTGAGATCGCAGTGCCCTCACCACCGGGATATCGGCCGGATTCACGATCGCGTCGCGCGTGCGGACAGGCGAAGCTGCGTGGGCGGGCGAGAGGCATGACCCGCCGTTGCCAGGGCGAAGCCGAACCAAACGTTGCTATCCCCCTGGTTGGCCAGCAGTGGCCCTGTGGTGTCCCGATGGTGTCCCGTTGGTGCCTCAATGGTATCCCGATAATGTCCCGACTGTGTCCCGTGGTGTCCCATGGTGTTCCGTGGCGCGGGGGTGTCCCCTGCTATGCTTTAGGCTATGCTATGCCATGCTAGCGATAGTGAGATGGATGGTGCGATCGTTAGTGAGATACATTGATTGAAATCGAAAGTGAGATCGATCGTGAAATCGATTGCAAGATTGGTAGTGAGGTCGATTGAGTGGGATCGACACTTAGATCGACAGTGAGATCGTCAGCAAGATCGATAGCGATATTGTCTGAGCGGGATCGATCGTGAATCGATCGTGAGATCGATCGTGTGTTCGTTTGTGAAGTCGATAGTGAGATCGATTGAGCGAGATCGATAGTGAGATCGACAGTAAGAGTCACAGGGAAATCAAGAGTGATACCGGTAGTGAGATCGATTGACTGGCATCGGTAGTGGTATCGATCGTGACATCAAACATGAGATCGATAGTGGCATAGATGATGACATCGGTAATGAAACCGGTAGTGAGAGGGATCGTGAGATCGATCGTGAGATCGTTCGTGATCGATCACGTGAGATCGATGGTGTGATCGTCAGTGACACGGATTCTGAGATCAATAGCGAGATTGGGAGTAAGATCGGTAGTGATATGGATAGTGAGATCGATTGAATGAGATGGATGGTGAGATCGGTAGCGAAATCGATAGTGAGATCGGCTGGGGACCCAAGAACCCAAGAACCAAAAACTGGAACCTCAGGAACCCCGCCACCCACCGAAATCGGCTCAGAACCAACAAACGGGAACCGGGGAACCCGGAAACGGGAACCCAGGAACCCAGCCGCCCACCGAAATCGGCGGGGAACTTTCGCCAAATCTTTCAATCTCCGCTCGGACCCCTTCAGTGCAAGCACTGATTGCGGTGCTCTTCGTTTTGTGGTAGCGACCCCGTAGCAAGTTCCCCCGGCGCCAGACGCGCCCATGCATCGAGGAAAGCGCTGTACGGAGGGGCCGAAACCTGCTGCATACCGCAGATGACCCGTCTCCATAGAGCCCTCCTATGCATCGGCGACGTCGGCGTGTAAAACATCGGCTCCACATCGAGCTGCATCGCCGACGCATCGGCGATGCACCGCGATCGTCCGACCCCGCCGCTCGGACCCCACCTGAGAGGCTCGGACCCCACCTGAGAGGCCTATAGACTCCCTCAGGACCCATTTCTGGGCGCTGTCAAGACTGGGTTTCATGGGCCTCGTCTAATGATGTGTACCCGGGGGGCGCCCCCCGCCCCACTCCCCTAACTGGAACTCTCGCCATCCGAAAGAACACGAACTGCGGCAGACCTGGTCTAGTGACTCCCGTGCACTCTTGGGACTTCGGGGGCCCCATCACCATCCAACTCGCTCCCCTTACCCAAACTCCTGGCTATAATCCGATCCGGACCCATTTTTTGGACACCCGAAATGGGTACAGAAAAAAAGGGGTACAATGCCCAACAACAAATGTTGTCCCAAACCAACAGCGGCCGCTGTTGGGTAGGCGGCCTTCTGTCCCAAATGAACACAGGCCGCGGCGGCGCGGACAGCGAATCCTGTCAAAATGAACAGGAACTGCTGTTAGGCATTGTACCCATCCCTTCCGCACCCACTTACTTTCTGTTCGTGCCGACATGTGCTTCACGGCAACCCTCGTCCGCCCCGACCCGGGGGCTCCTCCGGAAGCTGGCTGGCGGCAACCACTCGGCCGGCGGCGGCTGCCCGTACACGTCCTCCGCGGAGGCGCGCGCGAGCTTCGGCGCGGCGCGGCGCCGCCGCGGGGGGCTCTCCGGGCCCCGCGTGCTGGCCGGGCGCGCCCCTCCCACACTCCCGTCTTGCCCGCAGCGCATCGCAGCCAGGCACGGTCAACACGCCCTTCAGTGTCGGTATACGTCGGCGGCGGTGCTCCCGAACGGCGTTGCGCCGAGGAGGCCGGAGGAACATCTGGTACGGCCTGCAGGCCGACGCTTCTGCGCGCCCAGCCTGGTCCCAGATCTCCCAAACCTCCCAGGCATCCCATCCCAGACCTCCCTCGGAGAGCCATTGCGTCAAGTTGAGCTCAGCATGGGAAATCACCCACTCCGTGCAATGCCAGCGCTTTTCTTCAAGCATCGCTGCCGGCTTCTTCCGCTCTCCCCGGGACCCCTGGGGGAGATGGCAAAAGGAGGAGATCGGTCCTGCTCCTGTTGGTCCCCCCTCCATGGGAGCACAAAACGGTACTGATACCGCTGCTCCACGGACCTCCCTCCCCAGGCGCGTTCTGACCAGGATTACGCAGCGACTTCAGCTGTGGCGACGAGGGCAGGGCAGCGGCATCGCTGGCTTCTCCTCCTCTGGCCCCGCAGGCAGCCTGCGAAGCCTGGCCGCAGCAGGCTCGGCGAGAAGCTTTGGCGGGGCGCAGAGGGGGCTAGGGAGAGGGGGAAGGCTTCTTAGACGGCGGCGGCTTCTTAGAGAAGGCGCGGGCCTCGTCTGTCGATGTAAGGCCTGCGGCTTCTCAGCAGCGACCCCCCTCTGAGAAGCCTTCCCCCCCCCCCCAGGGAGGCTACGGGGCGCCGCGAAAAGCTGCGCGTGGCGCTCCACGCCCGCCCACACAGCAGCAGCCTCCGCCCGCGAGCTGCGGCGGGGCGCCCCGCTCACAGGGCCAGGCCGCTGCAAGACGAAGCCAGGACCGGGGCACCCTCCGACCGGGAGCTCTGGAATCTGGCGGCCCTGGTAGGATGTGCATCTGGCGCCGCTGCCGACCTACAGCGCTCTGAGAGCGCTCTGGAGAGCTCCTCGGATGCTCACTAACGCAAAGGCAACGCAAGGTTCGACCGAGCAGCTCGGGGAGCGGCTCGCCCCACAAATGAGGCGGACATACAAACACTACTGGACAAGTATAACAAACACGCCCCTTCAGAGCGATCAAGCATCACGCATGCCACTCGGTTATAATAGCGCTCCTCGGAATAATTCCATGGACAAGTCTTCCCTTGCCGCATTGTTCCCTGCAACGAAATTCCTCCCGACGACAAAAACTGGCGCACAATATGAGATCACCGCGTCCTGGGTCTGCCCCCAACGTCTGGGGCAGTCAAGTGTCCATCGCATGACCATAGCCGCTCGCAACGACCCGGAACGCACAAACGTAACATTAATGTGGGGTGAAAGAACGTGCACCTTTCGTCCACTTTTTCCGGCCGCGGTGGCCATTTAGGAGACCTTGAGGGCTTCTAGGGTCCCTTTAGGGCCACTCTTCTGTATCCCTCGACTCCTCCAGATGTATTGCCCCCCCCCCGCTGCCGCTCTCCCTGGAGTGACTCACCCTGGTCTGGGGCTCGCCCGATGGCTGGCCACGCTCAGCCGGATGGACGAGGCAGGGGGCCGCTGGCGACACCACGGACGGCGCAGTCCCTCATCGGCCCTTCGCCCGCAGGCGTGAACTGGCTCGATCGTGCGGAGCGGCGGCCGCGCCTGGGGGGAAGCGGAGAGGACAGGACTTCTCGGGAAGCGGCGGGACTTCCCAGAAGCCCTCGCGCCTGCTGAGAAGCCGTCTGCTGCTTCGAATCAAGAAGCCGGAGGCATTCCGAGCCATCTGCGAAGGCCCGCCCCCTCTCACTCCCCCCCCCTCCCGGGCCGCGCCGGCGAGATGAGCGGTGAGGGGACACTGCGGGGGGTTCCCCATCGAGTGGAGGGCGCACGTTCGCCCTCGCTTCTGGCTCCGAGGTCGCCCTGCAGGAGCACCTCGCCGCCAGCTGCCGTCGGGCGCGCCGCGGCACTGGCGCAACTAGCAGAGCGGGGCCCGAGCGGCCCGCAGCTCTCGGATCGCCACGCCGTCTGCCCCACCTGACAGGCCCCAGGGGACGATCCTGAGCCCAGCAGGCTGTGATGAGCTGGCCACAATGAAGACAGGACGTGGGGACATGTGGAAACAACGCGAACGAGGACGGACGAGGAGAAAGAGGAGGAAGAAGAGGGATGCGATGCCATCGGAGGATCGGGAGCAGCAGGAAGATGGAGAGGATGGTGACGAGGATGAGGCCGACACGAGGCAGAGGGTAGAAACAAACACGTCCTGTGCCGTCATGCCGTCGCCACCCAGCAAGCTGACACCGCCGAGGCCGCCAGAAACCCACGACTGCGGCGCGAAGGCGAAGCAATGCACGGCACGAACGAACGAACGCTGAGTATGTGCTGGGCGCGCGCGGCAATGTACCCTAAGGGCTCAACGGAACTTGCCAACGGGCGTCCGCAGGCCAGCAGACATGCACACGGAGGACAAGAGATGAGGACAAGGTGAGCGGCAGGACACTGAACAGCTGGACAATCATGAGAAAATAACGACGGTCTCACTCGGATATGTTCTGAATTCTGAGGCCATCACGGGCACATCTGGCTCGAAAGATCAAGCAACAATCACGCACAAATATGTTGTCAACAATTATGGTTGTGATTGCTCGCTACGTTTTACGCCGGATGTCGGGGGAGCAGGAGGGCGGAGGATGATGAGCTGCAACGGCAGCAGTTGCAGCAGGTCGCCAGTAGCAGTTGCAGCAGATCAACCGAAACACAAAGCACCCCGTCAATACAGATCAGCCGCACGGAACCAGATGCGAAAGCGAGCCTGGTGCAAAACACTGCTGTACGAACGCTGGCGACCCTGTCGTTTCCACCAACTTTGACATCGGCATCGGTGCAGTGATGCGTCTTTGTTAAAGGCGGGCTGGCTCGCGTGCGATGTCTAAGTGCCAGGTGATCCTGCTGTGCCAGCTTATGTGTGTATATGTATACATACACATTTATATACTAGAACCATCGCGCGCGCTTCGCGCGCGCTCAAGTTCTAGCTAGGCTCGACAGGCTAACGCATGGAATATCAATTGTTGAAGTGCCTTGTGCATCTAACGACCTCATTGGAGTCCCTGCGCAAGCCTCGGAAGCGTATAGACGGGATGCAGAAACCACATATCATCATATTATTTTAGGTGTTCGATGAGCTGGGGCGCTCGAAGGCACCCTGGCATCTTTTTTCGGTGGTGACGGGGGCCTTAAGTATGGTCTGTTGTGCAATAGTAAGCAGGGGGTAAGTTCGGACAAATATTAATTCTGAGAATTCCCTTTTTTCCAAATTGCCATGCTTGGGCTGTGGGACAGAAGTCTCCATGATACAGGCCATGGTACGTTAGGATGGCCCTCGGGGCCTTTTTGGCGGCGTCTTGGAAGTCTTTCGGGGCCATTTGGAGGGCTCTAGGTGCCTCCTGGGAGCCTCCCATAAGTCGCTGCAGGCATCTGGGGGGCGCCTCGAGAACCTCTGGGATAACCTTCGGGCCACCTTGGGGCAACACGCTCGGAAGGCTTTGGGAGGTCCCCTCTTTTCTCTTTCTTGGCGCGCGCGCTGACGTTCTAGCTAGGCTTGACAAGTGAACTCATGGGATCTCGATGTTTCCCATATGTTTGGTGGGGTTCTGGTGTTCTTCACTGCCGCGCCGCACCCGCGTCTCACCTCCTCCCTTCCCCTTCTCGCGTGCACACGCAGCGCAGCACAGCACAGCACAGCACAGCACAGCACAGCACAGCACAGCACAGCACAGCACAGCACAGCACAGCTCAACGCAGCACAGCACAGCACAGCACAGCACAGCACAGCACAGCACAGCACAGCACAGCTCAGCACAGCTCCCAGGGCGTGGCAGGCGTGGCATTTCCTCGACGCCACAGGGGGTGCGCTGAGGGTGGGGGCCCTATGCGTTGCAGCCAACGCATAGGAGGAGGAGGAGGAGGAGGAGGAGGAGGAGGAGGAGGAGGAGGAGGAACAGCGCAGCACAGCACAGCACAGCGCAGCACAGCACAGCGCAGCACAGCACAGCTCAACGCAGCACAGCACAGCACAGCACAGCACAGCACAGCTCAGCACAGCTCCCAGGGCGTGGCAGGCGTGGCATTTCCTCGACGCCACAGGGGGTGCGCTGGGGGTGGGGGGCCCTATGCGTTGTAGGCTCCCAGGGCGTGGCAGGCGTGGCATTTCCTCGACGCCACAGGGGGTGCGCTGGGGGTGGGGGCCCTATGCGTTGTAGGCTCCCAGGGCGTGGTAGGCGTGGCATTTCCTCGACGCCACAGGGGGTGTGCTGGGAGGTGGGGGCCCTATGCGTTGTAGGCTCCCAGGGCGTGGCAGGCGTGGCTTTTCCTCGACGCCACAGGAGGTGCGCTGGGAGGTAGGAGGAGGAGGTAGAGGACGAGGAGGAGGAGGAGGAGGAGGAGGAGGAGGAGGAGGAGGAGGGGAGGTGGGGCAGCAGCAGCAGCAGCTGCAGCAGCAGACGCAGCAGCAGCAGCAGCAGCAGCAGAAGCAGCAGCAGGAGGAGGACACCGAGGAGGAGAAGGAGGAGGAGCAGCAGAAGCACCGATGGTACACATGGTAAATAAAATAGGTATGTGGGGTTCCTCGGTAGCGTAATTACAATGATTTCAGGGACAACCAAGAGGACACGAAGACGACCCAATAGAGTGCCAAGACAGCGTCAGGGAGTTCAACAGTATCCCCGAAACATCAATTGCAATGTGACCCCGAAGCTTTGATGAGGCTCGGGCTGAACTTGATCAACAAGAAAACCACTGGAAGTTATTTTTCAAAGTGGGGCCTCTTAACATGTAGTGCGCAGGAATCGGGGGGCCTAAGAGACGTGGAAGGGGCTCTTGGGGGCTCTTGGGGCCTCTTGGGGCCACTTTTGGGCCTGTGCGCGGCTCTTGGGAGCCTTTTCGAACTCTTTGGGGGACTCCTGGGGGCCTCCTGGGGGCCTCTTGGAGCGGGAAGCCAGGATTGTCGACCTGCGTTCCCCGTGCTGGGCCGCTTTTCGAGCCATCTTGGAGCTCTCTTGGGCTTCTTCGGGGCACTCTTGGGCCGATCTGGGACCTTCGAAGCCCGTCCTGGAGCCGTTTTGGGGGCTCCTGGGCGGTCTTGGGGCGGTATTGGGGGCCTTTTTCGGCCGTCTTGAAGCGTTGGAAGCTCGAAACCGCGATAAGGTTTTTCTTTTGTATAAGAAATGTGTGTATGTATAAAAAAGCATCAACATGTTTGGCCTCTTCGGGCGCTTCCGGGACGCCTCTCGGAGCTCTCTTGGGGCCTCTTGGAGGCCTCCTGGGAGCCTGGAGAGCCGTCGGAAGTCTGTCTTGGGCTGCTTGGTAGCGTCTTGGGCCGTCCTTTCGCGTTCTAGGGGCTCCTTGGGGGCGTCTTGGGCCGTCTTGGGGCGTGTTGGGGCTTGGGAAGTCTGGGGGCGCTGTGCTGGGAACTGCCCCACATGTTATGGAGGTGTGGGACGCTCCCGGGTGGGGTGGGGGGACACTCCATATATGTGTATATTTTATAACTCACACACATGTGTATATGCATAATAACATGTATATACGCGCATGTATACATGTATAAGGTCACCTGTATGCTACACATCTATATACACAGTTATAGCTACACGCATGTATATATATATATGTATTCAATCTACACATATATATATACATGTATGCACCCGAATGATTCTACATCCTAGTATATCATACACCTACTCTCTTTTACTATATAAAGGTATGTGCACACTGTATACAAACATATATCATACATTACAGTGTAAGCAACTACGGTATACTACACTTCAGTATCATATGTCACGCCGTTGTCAGATCCACGTACCAGACAGAGTCTTGACGGCTTGCGAGCAAACTCGCGCTACTTCGACCGCGCGCGCACTCGAGAATCCTCTGAAAAGCATCCGAAAGCCTCCGGGCTAGGCCAGACCAGACGCCCACCTACCCCCACACGCGGTTGAGTCAAAGGGGAAAAGGCTAGATCCCCTCCGTGGGCCACTCCCTTGGGTCCCTTTTGCGCATCGTAGAACAAATATTCTGGTCGAGAACCCCCGCTCGAGAGGGACAATTTCGAAACGATTGCGAAATTCACGTAGGGAGCAATAGCAGATTACGAGAGACGGACAAAAGACCATGATGCCTCGGCAGCATGTGTCACGGGTAACCCGTGCTACAAGATCTGCAAGTCCTTACTGAAGAACCACAACTCATCACAGATCTCAGGCGGCAGTGACATGTCATGCGCCTCGGCGACAATTGTCTGGACATATACCTTTGAAGTTTTCTGATGGCTTCCAGCGGCCACGGTCCCATGGCGCGGTCGATGCTGACGCGCGCCCAGAAATCCCAGCTGGCGCCGCCTCGTTTGGAGCCAGTCGGAACCCAGCCTGACACAGCAATTCGTTGAAGATGCGCCGCGGATGGTGGCACGAACGATTGAATAACCCTGTGCCCCTGAGGTTCACAGGGTGGGGATAACAAAATTCCGAGTCCACGGAGGAAAATAAATGGATCCCCCGCAGGAGGAGGTTGATGATGATGGTGATGATGAAAGGAGAAGGAAAAGGGTCGGAGGAACATATAGTCGTAGTAGAACTAGTAGTAGTCGTCGTCGTCGTCGTCGTCTTCGTCGTAGTAGTAATCGTAGTAGTAGTAATAAAAATAAACAAAGTGGCACAAAGAAATATAGCATTGGTAGTCGTAGTAGTAGAAGAAGTAGTAGTAGTAGTCGTAGTAGTAGTAGTAGTAGTAGTGGTAGTAGTAGTAGTAGTAGTAGTAGTAAGTAGTAAGTAGAAAGTAGTAAGTAGTAAGTAGTAAGTAGTAAGTAGTAAGTAGTAAGTAGTACTAGTAGTAGAAATAGCAGTAGTAGTAGTAGTAGTAGTAGTAGTAGTAGTAGTAGTCGTAGTAGTCGTAGTAGTAGTAGTAGTAGTAGTAGTAGTAGTAGTAGAGGTAGTAGTAGTAGTAGTAGTAGTAATAGTAGTGGTAGTGGTAGTAGTAGTAGTAGTAGTAGTAGTAGTAGTAATAGTAGTAGTAGTAGTAGTAGTAGTAGTAGTAGTAGTGGTGGTAGTAGTAGTAGTAGCGATCGTAGTAGTAGTAGTAGTAGTCGTCGTCGTCGTCGTCGTCGTAATACCCGTAATACTAGTAGTAGTAATGGGAGTAGTAGTTGTCGTTGTAGTATTAGCTGTACGGGTAGTAGTAGACATCGTAGGAGCGGTAGTCCTCGTAGAAATG